GACCGAAATGATTTGGACAATTATGATTCGTTTATTCATGTTTCATAGAGAGGTATTCAATTTTATTTTATTTGTTTATAATCATTCTCATTTGCAAAAAGTAATACGAACCATGAGAATTATATGTCCCAATTCATCAGCTGTTAAGTTTTCATATTACAATCAATGATTTGCTCATGTTCTAATTCCTATGCTCACTGAATAAGATTTTAATCATAATTACAATTCAATTCCTTCTGGAACACACTTTAGAGTGTGAATTTCTGGAATTCAATGTTTGTTGATACTCTGGTAAAAGTGCGTGCCCACACTGTTATCAATTTTTAGTTAGTTCACACGGTAATTCAATTAATCTGTTGTTCATCTCATCAATATAATTCCGTGCTTAGAATATTGTCATCTCGTGTTATCAGCACCAAATTAAAAATTAAAACTTCATTGGGAATATTGAGTCACAGCTTCTTTTTATTCATATCAGAAATTTTGTATTTGGATATTAATATTATTTGTTCAAAGTGAAAAAATCGATCATCATTTTCACTATATTGCATTCAGATTCTCCTATCCTTAACGTCAAAAATGTGAGATAATCTCATAATTCTGGCTATTAATTCTAATCAACTTTGTTCGAAGAAAACCTTAGTAAACGCAATATTAAGAAAGTTGAATTATTCTATTTTCCTCTGACCGAAATGATTTGGACAATTATGATTCGTTTATTTATGTTTCATAGAGAGGTATTCAATTTTATTTTGTTTGTTTATAATCATTTTCATTTGCAAAAAGCAATACGAACCATGAGAATTATATGTCCCAATTCATCAGCTGCTAAATTTTCATCTTACAATAAATAATTTGCTCATGTTCTAATTCCTATGCTCACTGAATAAGATTTTAATCATAATTACAATTCAATTCCTTCTAGAACACACTTTAGAGTGTGAATTTCTGGAATTCAATGTTTGTTGATACTCTGGTAAAAGTGCGTGCCCACACTGTTATCAATTTTTAGTTAGTTCACACGGTAATTCAATTAATCTGTTGTTCATCTCATCAATATAATTCCGTGCTTAGAATATTGTCATCTCGTGTTTTCAGCACCAAATTAAAAATTAAAACTTCATTTGGAATATTGAGTCACAGCTTCTTTTTATTCATATCAGAAATTTTGTATTTGGATATTAATATTATTTGTTCAAAGTGAAAAAATCGATCATCATTTTCACTATATTGCATTCAGATTCTCCTATCCTTAACGTCAAAAATGTGAGATAATCTCATAATTCTGGCTATTAATTCTAATCAACTTTGTTCGAAGAAAACCTTAGTAAACGCAATATTAAGAAAGTTGAATTATTCTATTTTCCTCTGACCGAAATGATTTGGACAATTATGATTCGTTTATTCATGTTTCATAGAATGGCATTCAATTCTCTTTTCTTCGGGGCAAGACGATTGTACTCATAAAAAAATTACCTCATCTCATTGAAAATTAAAGAAGTATAATTGTCCATTTTACCTGACTCGCCCCTATTTTAAAGCGTTTTAAAAGGGGAATTAAAAAAAATGGGCTTTTGACAATTTCAGAATCCTGAGCCACTTCTCAACAAAACAGTTAAACAGTACCTGTCAAACTCGGAAGGAAAACTACTATTTTCGTTAGTTAGAGAGTTTTTAGAATACTTCGGACTGGATTATACAATTTCAGTTTATGATCCAGAGACTTATGTGGGAAAGGAGTACAACTATGTTGGGAGGAATAAACTGTGTGAGAAACTGGGGATTAGCACGACGGAACCATTGCTCGGGGAGCTGCTTAAGAACAGCATTAATGGTGCCTTCAATAATTCTGATAAGGTAATTCAGACTGCACTCATTATTTTTACAATAATTTTCACAAATTGCAAACAACGAATTAAAAAAAATAATCCTGTGCAATGATTTTGCTGATTGAAAATGGTTAATTAAAACGCATAAATGAATTAATAATGAATCAATAATGAATTAGAATTGTGATTCAAAAACGGTTGAATAAAAGCCACTTGGAGATCCTTAATCAACAGGAGAATGCACCCAATCAAATGAATCGATTGATTTGCTTGCAGAATGACTCAAACGATAGCAGACTGAACAAAACAACCGACACATCAGCCCTGAACAACGCAACATTCGAAGTAATAGTACCAAATATCATTCACAAAGACTCAGTGTCATTCTCAAACGACAACGACTCATCTGAGAAGGGGGAGAGTGTATCAGATATGAGCCAAGATATGCCAATAAACGTGACAATAACCGACAAAAAAGTCAACAATTCCGAGACAAATATCGACAAAACGTCCAGTAATGCAATGATAGACACGTCGAGCTGTGAATTGCGTAATGAATCGAGGGAGAGCACGAGTTTAACGAAAATTAACGACAAAACGGGTAATAATAATCTCGATGATACTGAGAATAATCAAAATGCCGATGCCTGCCCAATCAACGAGACCAAGGATACTTCAAATTCACTCAACAAGAGTGAACATTTTATTAAGTTTGACGATACAATAGGGGATAGTGGGGGTATACGTAATGAGGAGATTAGTAAAACAAAAGTGAGGAAGGATGTGGAATTACAAAATACGAATAATGCTCAAAACAGGAGGAAAATCGATGGTGAAAATAATTTTAGTAAGACTGTTTTCTTTGACGAGATTATTGCCGATGGGAAGAGGGAGAAGGTGGGGAGTGGCGGTGGGAGGAAGGGGGAGTCGTTGCTGGGGGATTTGCCGCCCATTGGGGCTAGGGGGAATTCAATCTTCAGCGATTTGCCACCGCTCAATGGGAAGAAGACGAATATCAATGATTTGAAGGAAATTATGGACATGGGACTTGGTGAGTGAATTTTTAGTTTTGTCTATTTTAGTTTTGTCTAGTTTTTGTATATTTTGAACTATTTTTTAAGAAATTAATTGGCATTTATCCAAGCTCGGTCATTATTTCTCCAAATTGTTCATCAGTTTTTTAAATAAAAAAGTCCAGCCTTGTATGAAATAATTGAATTTCCTCAACGAAATAATTCGTCATTCTCTCATTAGATTACTCGTGTTTTTGATTATATTTTCCAAGTGGAATGAGGAGATTCATGGAATTACCGTGTAGGGGAGAATAAATATGGGTCACAAACTTGTGGTTCAAATCGGAAATTTCACTGGTTCTCTGATGAGCCCAGATTCATCCCTGAATTTCTGATACAACTCAAGAAATCCCGGTTTTTTCATTAAAAAAAATTCCCCATTCCACTTTATTTCGTAATTTATCATTCGATTGTACTAGTCTCATTAATTAATTACTCTCAATATTGGATTGCCCAAAAACTCAATAATCCATAGTTTGTATGAACCCCCTTTGTTTTTATTCAACCATCAATTGTTAATTGTTTTCAAGAAAAATAGACAAGCACTTAACTCAACTCTCATAGAAAATTTTCATTAAAATCTTCAAATACTTAGCACCATTCAAGAAAAAATAACTCCACTAGATTTATTATTTTTTGGTCATTCAAAAACATTTTCATCATTATTTTTAGGCAATCCATTTTCGTTAGACGGATAATTTACTGGTGTCCTTGAACACCATAGCCGTTAACTTTTATTCATTTCAGCAGCGATAAAGTGATAGAACGTAATTCTCAAGTACAATTTGATTTGTCTTCTCATTCGTGCAATTATCTCGGTAATGAGTAGTTTTAGAGAAAAATGTCATAAAACACTTGTTGTAGATCATTAAATTCTCTAGAAAAATGTTTTTCTGATATTTTCTCCTAGAACCACTTCCTTACGGGATAAACACGAATTTACATTTCACCATTTCATTTTTTATTTTTTAAATTAAGATCAATCGCTTTAAAAAAACTCTTCCCATAATAATATTTATTTCATCCCAAAAATATTTCTATTTCTACTTATTTCTCCACCGAAAGTCAATGCTAACTAATTTTTCTCACTTCTTAAACTTGAATAATCCTCAACAAATGGAATTTCAAACGAGAAAAAAATTAATTATTAGAAAAACAGAATTAATTAACGATTTTTATGATGATTTATGTTCACAGCTGGTGAAAATGTAGATAATTACGAAGAAGATTTCGCCTCCTCAGCCTCGGGAAGTGCGAACGAAGCGAGTCCAGTGAAAGACAGTGAGAAAAATCCCAACGAATCCCCAGAGAATCAAAATCAAAAGGAGGAGAAGAGCATCAGCGCGAGGAGCGAGGAGATCAGCGAGGAGATCGACGAAGAGGTACTGAGCGCCAATGTCTCGTGCGTGAGTGATCCCATTGTCATTTGAAGTAATTATCTCCATGTATTCATGAGCCATGTCGCAGGTCGACTGTTTTATTCTTTAATTATCAATTTTTTGTTGAGTCGAGTCGTCTTGCCATAATGCTTCCTACGTTGCAGGTGGAAAGTATACACTGATGATTAAATGTAATGAATTCTGGCGTTTTCTCGGACATCTCTAATTGCATATTTATTAGTCACTCGTTTTTACTATTTTTTGAGTGATGAAGTTGATGAAATTCAAGACTTTAATCGGAAATATTCATCAATCAGTTGATGAATTGATTGAAAAATTGATTTTTGTTCAAGTAATTGAAAAACTCAAGTCATAAAATCCATTTGAAATATTAATTACGGAAATGTAAAGAATGAATTTGGAATTTCGTTAAAGAAAGTCAATTTTTAATGAATGATTTTTTTTGCTCTCATTTTTATGACAAAAAATTGAAGTTTGTGATATGAGAAATGCATTGACCTGTTAAATAAATCAAGTAATCGATTAATCCATTGAATTTGGCTTCTAAAATCATGAAACTGAAGCTGAAAATCATCTCATAAAGTAAAAAAATTCAATTCACCAACTAAAACTACTTTATTATTGATTTTTGGATTTCTAAAATTTTTCTAAGGATTAAAATGTGTCTTTGCGGTATCAAAATTTCATGATAAGTCGAACAAATCGATTAATTGAATCATGAAGTGAATTTCGCACTAATAATTGCAAAGCAGAACTCAAAAATCGTAGGGACGGAAGAATAATTTTTGTATTTCAATCAAAATCTAAAAATTGAAACACTTCAATTTTTTTAGAATTTTGCATTCATCTAATCGATGACATAAAAATGCATTGACCTCTTGAAAAAATCAAGTAATCGATTAATCCGTTGATTTTTTTTTGCACAATTACAAAACTAAAGCCGAAAATCATTTCATAAAATAAAAAAAATTCAATTCATCAACTGAAACGACTTTATTATGTATTTTTTGGATTTCTCAAACTTTTTTAAAGATTAAAATCTGACTTTATGGCATCAAAAGTTCATTATCAATTTCACAAATCGATCAATTGATTCATGAATTGAATTTCACTCTAATAATTCCAAAGCAAACCTCAAAAATCATACTAACGAAAGAATAATTTTTGCATTCCAATCAAAATCTAAAAATTGAAACACTTCATTTTTTTTAGAATTTTTCATTCATTTTTATGAAAAAAGGTCAAATCGATGGCGTAAAAAATGCATTGACCTCTTCAATAAATAAGCAATTGCTAAACTGGCACTGAAAATCATTTCATAAAATAAAAAAAAATCAATTCATCAACTAAAACGACTTTATTATTCATTTTTTGAGCTTCTAAATTTTTTTTAAAGATTAAAATCTGCAAATCGATCAATTGAATCATGAATTGAAATTCGCTCCGATAATTCCAAAGCAAACCTTAAAAATCGTACGAAAGAAAGAATAATTTTTGCATTTCAATGAAAATCTAAAAATTGAAAAACTGGAGATAAGACACTGCCAGATGTGGCTCAATAATCGTTAATAAGTTATCTGCGCAGGGGATAAATGGAGAAGGAAGCCCCCCGAATATTTAATTTCCCACTCAATAATTTCCCCTCAAAATATTTGTACAGTATAAAAAAAATGTGACTCCGGAGATTGAAAAACCTGTCGAAATATTTTTGTACGCGATTTCTAGGTATTAAGAAACACAGATGCTATATAAAAACAATAAAACTATTTTTTCCGAAAGCCACGAGATAAGTATTTAAGAGAATAATTCAGGAGTGAAATGATTGAACGAACGGGAAAAGTCATTGTCTCGAATATTTTCAAATTACGTCAAATTTGGAATTAAAATTGCGTTTCATCAATTCACTTCAGAATTTAAGAAAAAGAATCGAATTTTGGGGGATTCCTTCTCCATTTATTCTGCAATGGCGTCTAGTATTACTGTAAATTACTATTATTGTATTAACTATTGATTAATTTAAAGACAATTATTATTATTTTTTACTCTAAGAGTTATAAAAACGGAATTTCAGACTCAAAAACGTCGAAAATGCATTTTTTTGTTAATTTATTACCATTTCCACCACAATGCATATTATCCTACGACTGTTATATGTATTACCTCATTCTTAACTAAAAAGTGAATAAATCGGTGATGAAGTGGTGAAACGTAACAGAACAGAACAGAACTAGTCCATTTTCCAATATTTTTCTTGTAGAATGTTGAGTGAATCTTGATAACGACAGATTCTACGGGAAAATGTCTAAAAAGATTTTTTGTAGGGAATTCAATGATCTACAAAAAGTGTCTAGTGATATTTTCCCCTAAAACCACTCGTTACCGAAATAATGGCACGAATGAGAAGACAAATCAAATTGTACTTGAGAATTACGTTCTATCACTTTATCGCTGCTGAAATGAATAAAAGTTAACTGCTATGGTGTTCAAGGACATCAGTAAATTATCCGTCTAACGAAAATGGATTGCCTAAAAATAATGATGAAAATGTTTTTGAATGAACAAAAAATAATAAATCTAGTGGAGTTATTTTTTCTTGAATGGTGCTAAGTATTTGAAGATTTTAATAAAAATTTTCTATGAGAGTTGAGTTAAGTGCTTGTCTATTTTTCTTGAAAACAATTAACAATTGATGGTTGAATAAAAACAAAGGGGGTTCATACAAACTATGGATTATTGAGTTTTTGGGCAATCCAATATTGAGAGTAATTAATTAATGAGACTAGTACAATCGAATGATAAATTACGAAATAAAGTGGAATGGGGAATTTTTTTTAATGAAAAAACCGGGATTTCTTGAGTTGTATCAGGAATTCAGGGATGAATCTGGGCTCATCAGAGAGCCAGAGAAATTTCCGATTTGAAACACAAGTTTGTGACCCATATTTATTCTCCCCTACACGGTAATTCCATGAATCTCCTCATTCCACTTGGAAAATATAATCAAAAACACGAGTAATTTAACGAGAGAATGACGAATTATTTCGTTGATTAATATTAGAGGCAACTTTCAAGCTTCGAATCTGAAATTCAATTATTTCATACAAGGCTGGACTTTTTTATTTAAAAAACTAATGAACAATTTGGAGAAATAATGACCGAGCTTGGATAAATGCCAATTGATTTCTTGAAAAATAGTTCAGTGGTGAAGTGGTGAAACCTCATCAGCTCTTGAGTTTTTATCTCACGGTTGATAACAACAATAGTTGAACTTCATTGGAGATATAACTGGATTAAATACAATTAATGGGATTGATTTTTTTAAAGAAAATTTGATCATTTCATCCCTTCACTGCTGAAGTACAAATGATCATTGATTAAATAAACAAAAACCGAGTGAAAGAACAGGTGTGTTCCTGGCCAATCAGCGTGGTTACATTTCGTTATCACCGTAACATAACAGAACAATCAGTCATTTATTTTTACATAAAAAGGAATATAATTGAGAGAAAAAAATAGAAAAAAAGCAATACAAGGAATATATTCAGGACTGCATTTCCACATTCCCACATGTATGCATGTGTGTATATTTTAACTAGGCATTAAGGTACTACATTCCAATAAGATTTTACCTTTCAGTTTGTTCGAGAGGACTTGAGTAAACTTCTGTCAAAATAATTGTATTTTTCAAGATAGTTTTTAAGGGAAATTAATAGTTTAAGAATTTTTTTTTGCTTTCGAAAAAAGTCAAAATACTGAGATGGGGCATTGGAAATAGTTGGAAACGGAGGGGATTTCTGACGAAAGAATTTTCAAACTGAAACTACTTTAGGTTCTCTGAATAATTTTTTAAGATATTTAAAATTTCGTGTTTTAGATTTTTTTAGGGACTCGATTGAGGATAAATAATTGTTGTACTTACGATCATAATTTTATTGAATTTCTGTTCAATGTTGAATATTACCACTGACAAGCTCGTGAAAAATATTTCTACACGAATTTTTTTCAAGTATTAAACAGTTGTTTACGATATTTTTCACACAATCCGACAGATTAAATTCCTCTGAGATGATCACACTGTAACCACGTTGAATTATTGGTAGCTATATTGTGCCTTTTAGCATATTAGATTCTCAAATATTTAATCACAAAAACAACGTGAAAACTGCGAATAAGTAGCTGAAGTGGAATTATTTAATTCTATTCACCGTAAATTGTCCGTCTTAGTCAGAAGAACTAAATTTTCTCGATTCAAAAGAATTATGACACTCGATTTCAACAGTTTGCGTCGTTTGTTTAAATTTAATTGATATTTCTAAGTATCTTTAAGAATTGGGAATTGTACTTTTAAGAATGTTTTCATGTACATAGATTTCTTTTTCTCTATTTCTTATCAATCAATTCGACAATTGTTTTTGTTTTAATATCGAAAACTACTGAATCAAAATATTCAGGAATAGAACGAATGAATGTGTCTATTGAATTGTCATTTTTTTATTTCAATTTATCTGACCGTTGAGGACGATTTGAGAAATCTTTGATGTTTTTTTTTAAGAGTGAGAGCACTGAAAAATATTAAACGAATGGAAATTACTTCGATTTATTTAGGAATTTGTGTGCAAACAATTGGTAGATTTAACGATGCTGTTCCTACGAGTATAATTGTAAAGGTCATTGTAATGATTGTAATTTCAACAGCTGAAATAAAACAGTGTATTTACAGATAAATTCAACTATTTTATTTTTCCATTTCAATTGCAATGAGTGGTGTTAGGGAACTATTTTAAGAAATAATTTAATATTCAAGAAATATTCTAAGACAAATTCCTCCCTTGTGAATGTTTTTTTTGTTATTTATTGAAGTGTCTGAATAAAATTAAAATAAAGATGGATTTGAAGATTTTTCACGTCATTTATTCGAGTCTGCACAACCATTCAGATCTCAATGGAAAAAGTAAATAATAAATTGCACTAATATGGCAGTAATGCGTGTTTAGGCAGTGGTAGAGTTAGTGTTTTTACAATTCAACATTTTTTATTCAAACTCCAGAGTAAACAATATCCCCCTCTCAACTCCAGTACATTTATTAGGCAATAATTCTCTCTATTTACATTCGATTACGTTCCCTCTGTAATCTTTGGCTGTATGCCCTCGAGACGACGTTAAATGCATCCATATATCGGTCCATACACATTGCAACGCATTTCTGAAATGAAAAAAATTACTAAATTCAATTTCCGAATCAAAATAATCAATTCATTCAACTTTTCAAATAACAAATAAAAAAGTCTAAAGTTTTTATCGATATTAGTCCATGAAATAATTTCACTAAATCCTCCCTGCAGAATAATAAATTCATCAAAACGTTTACATCGACTTCGTAAATTTCTTACGTCGAAGAGAATAAACAAAAAAAATTCCGCGCATTTCATCGTCTCCATAAAATCCAAATCAAATGATTAATGAATTTATGAAATGAATTTTCACTTCACAAATTTATTAACCATTTATTTCATAAATTCATTAATCATGAAACAGTTTCACTACTAAAAACATACAAAATCCTGGCAAAACGTAATTAACAGAATTAATCGACGAGATGATTTTCTCAATTATCTCGACAACAAGTAGTTTTATTGAAAAATATCAAAAGGCCTTTTTTATAGTTAGCAAAATTATCCACAAAAATCGACATTAAACATTGGCTCTAAAACCACTTCCTGCCCAGAAAACTGTCCCTGCAGAATAATAAATTCACCAAAGTGTTTACATCGATTTCCTTAATTTCTCATGTCGAATAGAATAAAAAAAATCCGAGAATTTCATCATCTCCATAAAATCCAAATCATCTCCATAAATCAAATGATTAATGAATTTATGAAATGAATTTTCACTTCACAAATTTATTAACCATTTATTTCATGAATTCATTAATCATGAAACAGTTTCACTACTAAAAACATACAAAATCCTGGCGAAACGTAATTAACAGAATTAATCGACGAGATGATTTTCTCAATTATCTCGACAACAAGTAGTTTGATTGAAAAATATCAAAAGGCCTTTTTTATAGCTAGCAAAATTACCCACAAAAACCGACTTATCACATTTGGCTCTAAAACCACTTCCTGCCCAGAAAACCCTCCCTGCAGAATAATAAATCCACCAAAATGTTTACATCGATTTCATTAATTTCTCATGTCGAATAGAATAAAAAAAATCCGAGAATTTCATCATCTCCATAAAATCCAAATCATCACCCCAAACCAAAACATTTGAGGTTAAAATAATCACTCACCTGTTCAGAGTTGTCCAAGGAAGTCCCAGGCTTGGTGACACACTTCTTGAAGCACTTCTCAGTGATTTTCTGCGATCAGAAACCAGAACCCTCAATTAATCCCCATGAGCAATAAAAAAAATTATGCAACAATCGTCCTTACCGTGAGCAACTCCTGGGCATTGGCGACGGCGATCTGCTGCTTGACCTCTTGCATGAACTCTTCCCTGTCAGCCCCAGACAGTGCACCAGCTTGAATCGAATCCATTCCTTTATTGATTTGCTCTCTCGGGTGATCAGTGAATTGGTTCAATTTTTATTTCATTGAGCCCTCGAAATGCTCCGAAAAATACAACACGCTGCCTCGCCGGTGTCACTAGCGCTCCTTAGAGTCCTTGTCACACGACAGGTAACTTAGATCTCTGATTTATGGACCGAGTTGCAAGGAAGAGAGGGGGAATGAGCGGGAATGTGGAATGTTGTGTTTGTTGAACAGTGCAACAAATAATGTGAAATAATTGTATTATTGATTCTCCCAAATTTTTATTAGGTTTTTTATCATCGCAGTTTATTTTCAATTCTGTTTTCTTTATTTTTAAATCATAAATTTGCAGTTGGGAATTATTTTATCAAGTGAATGAGGTTAGAAAAACAGTTTTGATGAGGAATCCTTGATACAATTGAAGGATTTTTAGTTGGAATATCATTATGGCAGACGATAAGGCGATTAAAAATGTGCAGAGCACATTCTCAATGTATGGATTCATCGTCACGAGGTATTATTCAGTCAGATCATTCGTCTTTAGCAAATGGAACTGCAGAGAAGTGCCCCAGGCATGAGTTATGAAATACAAAGTCAGGATTATTCTGTGAATACCTCTTAAACCACTTGGTTTATCGTAAAATATCAAAAGATCTTTTTCACAGGTCACACAATTCTCTACAAAAAATGTTTTCTGACGTTTCTCCTTAAACCTACTCATTAGAGAGATAATCCCATGATTACGTTACCTGAATTTTAAAAAAAGAAGAGTTAAATTTATCTGTAGAGAGAATTATTGCCTAATGAATATATTGGAGTTGGGAGGGGGCTATTGTTTACTCTAGAGGTTGAATAAAAAATGGTGAATTGTAAAAACACTAAATCTACCACTGCCTGAACACGCAGGACTGCCATATTCGTGCAATTTATCATATACTTTTTCCATTGAGATCTGAATGGTTGTGCAGACTCGAATAAATGACGTGAAAAATCTTCAAATCCATCTTTATTTTAATTTTATTCAGACACTTCAATAAATAACAAAAAAAAAATAGTCACAATGGAGGAAATTGTTTTAGAATATTTCTTGAATATTAAATTATTTCTTAAAATAGTTCCCTAACACCACTCATTGCAATTGAAATGGAAAAAATAAAAGAGTTGAATTTATCTGTAAATACACTGTTTTATTTCAGCTGTTGAAATTACAGTCATTACAAAATTGTTTGCACACAAATTCCTAAATAAATCGAAGTAATTTCCATTCGTTTAATATTTTTCAGTGCTCTCACTCTTAAAAAAAAAACATCAAAGATTTCTCAAATCGTCCTCAACGGTCAGATAAATTGAAATACAAAAATGACAATTCAATAGACACATTCATTCGTTCTATTCCTGAATATTTTGATTCAGTATTTTTCGATATTAAAACAAAAACAATTGTCGAATTGATTGATAAGAAACAGAGAAAAAGAAATCTATGTCCACGAAAACATTCTTAAAAGTACAATTCCCAATTCTTAAAGATACTTAGAAATATCAATTAAATTTAAACGAACGACGCAAACTGTTAAAATCGAGTGTCACAATTCTTTTGAATCGAGAAAATTTCGTTCTTCTGACTAATACGGACAATTCACGGTGAATAGAATTAAACAATTCCACTTCAGCTACTCATTCGCAGTTTTCACGTTGTTTTTACGATTAAATATTTGAGAATCTAATATGCTAAAAGGCACAATATAGCTACCAATACTTCAACGTGGTGACAATGTGACCATCTTAGAGGAATTTAATCTGTCGGATTGAGTGAAAAATACCGTGAACCACTGTTTAATCCTTAAAAATTCGTGTAGCCTCTCTCTCCCAGTCTAATCCCCCCAATGCAATTCCCCAGGAACGTCGCAACGTTCGTAGTAAAACAGCTGCTGAGCGTTGTCCCGGACGAGCGAGAGCTCTGGCTGACAAAGATAACAGACCAGATCCTGACCCTCGACCTCAGGGACCCCCACATCTCCCTGGAGCACGTGAAGCAGGCGATAAAGGAGTGCGTGAGGCCCGAAGAGATCCTGGACGAGTCCGAGACTATCTTCAACGTCATCAGCTTCGAGGACATCCCTAAGGTCGTCTACGACATCTCCATGAAGAAGTTTGTCCTTCAGAAGGTGGCGCGGGACTACTTCCCCGAGCCCATGCACAAGCCCAACGTCTTCAGGGACAGGCTGAGCCTGCTGAGGCAGAGGACCATGCGCCAGGAGCCCTTCGCCCCCAGGAAATTCGGGGAGAAGAATAAGGAGAAGAAGGAACTCGTTCCTGTCGAATTCCTGTTGACTGACTCCAGGCAGGGAAATCTCTACGTCATGGGGATTCTGTCGCAACTCGTGGACGGCCAGTACTTCCTGGAGGACACTGGAGGGGCTGTCAAGATCGACCTGACGAAGGCAATATCCTTTCTGATGAAAAGTTAAAAATCACAAGGGGAAATCGCTTTCTATCTCGTTAATGAGGTGGTTCAGGGGAAAAAGTCTGAAGATCTTTTTTGTAGGGGAGAAAGTTTTCCACAAAAAATATGAGGTGACATTTTCCTGGCAAATCACTCATTAATGAGATAATTACGTTGTTAAGAAAATACCGTAGCTAATAGTGAATTATAATTATCGTTAAATTATTAAGGAATCAGTTAGTCAAGGTGGTTCGGGCGTTTATAATCACAATTAATTCAATTGTGATTATAAACGTTTCATGTCAATTCCAGATGGATCTCATTATTTACCATTTTCGCACGAAACACCTTAATATCATTTTTAAATTTTCATTATTGGAGGAATCATCAATTTAAATATTCAAATTCCGAATTATTTATTAGTCACTAATTTAGTTAGGAGGATTGACGATTATTTGGGTAATCGGAAATTTATTATAAGAAATTTAGTATTATTTACTTAATAGAAAATTTACAGATCCATATTATTAAATATTTAATTCATCATTAATTGGAAATTTAGATTATCAATTATTTTAGTATTTTTTACTTTCGATTAGTATAAAGGAAATTCTTTTAACATTGAAGAATCGGAAAATTTATAGCCATCCCTGGCATTGAGTTGATTAATTTCTCTTGTTGATTAGTGGATCATCTCGTTAATGAGTGGATTCAGAGGGATAAGTCAAAAGATATTTTTTGTAGAGGAGAAAGTTTCCTATAAAAAATATGAGACGAAATTTCCCTGTCAAATCCCTCATTAACGAGGTAATTACATATTTCGTGAGGAGAGAAATTCACGAAAGAAAAGACTTCGGAACGAAAATTGGATTCAAATTAATTTTTTCGTTGAAACAAAATTAGAAAATTAGGGGATTAGGAACTGCAGTTTGAATCCCTCAGACATGCAACTCTGTTTTGAGTTTTTTCTGTCGAATCCATGAAGCATAGGCATGTTTTATTGATCAATGGGCAGCCACTAGTCTCGTGTGGTCAGTTGTAATCGATTAAATTTCGTGTGAGTCACTGCGAACTCACTCCCAAGATCATTCCCCGGACGTTGCCCTTCACTATTTTTCGATTTTTGTAATGGGACATGTGTGGCTGGCAGCACGTAGACCCAGTGAGAGTTCCCTAAATTCGTTGGTTTCCTCACGTAGGCCAAGTCATTCATGCGCATGGAATAGAATAAAAACAGAGCGGATAGGGCATTTTTCGAGCTTGGAGGTCAATTTTTTTGTAGGAAATTTTGTTTTTAATCCAACAGCGTTGATGAAATATTGAATTATCTCGTTACTGAGTCATTTCAGGAGCCAACGTCAAAAAATATTTTTTATAGAAAATTGAAGTTCCTGCAGAATAAATCTATTGACATTTTTTCGTAGAGCCACTCATTACCGAGATAATTCGATAATTGAGAAATTGTTTATTCAATTGATTTCGATGAAAATTTCTATTTGATTCAAGAGTGTTGATAAAAAATTGGATTATCTCGATAATGAGTGATTCTAGGAGAGAATGTCTAGAGACGATTCCCCCTGGACTCAACAGTTCTTGAGATAGTAGAGGAATAGTACTTGAAAGTGTTTTCAAAATAAGGAAAAGTGAGAACTAAACGTTCAACAGGAATTAAACAAATCATAGAACAATGAAATTGTCTCTGAAAATATTACACTCAGGTCTACGTCACTTGTAACCGCAGATGACCGGATTGACCCCGACGGTGTTATTTACGAAGTAATAAATTAATAGTGTGAGTGAGGAAAATTGTAGGAGAATTCTTTGAATCTAAAAGT